ATTTATACCCTGCCCTTCACTACCCAAGGGAGTCTCAGAGCAGCTTACAAACTCCTTCCACTTCCCCTCCCCACAACAGACACCCTGGGAGGCAGGCAGGGCTGAGAGAGCTCTTGACAGAAATGGCTCTTTTTCAAGAACAGCTCTTATCAGAACTATGGCTTGCCCAAGGTCATCCAGCCAGGTGCAAGTGGAGGAGTGGGGAATCAAACCCGGTTCTCCCAGATTAGAGTCCGCGCACTTAACTACTACACCAAACTGGCTCTGAAGAGGACCTTAGTGGGCAGGCTGGACAATGTAGAAGGCAGTAGTCCTACAAGTACCCTGACCTCGAGCTATATAGGGCCTTAAAGGTAAGAATAGGGTTGCCAGGTCCCCCTGGCCAGCAGTGGGGGGTAGGGTTGCCAGGTCCAGGTTGAGAAACTCCTGGAGGTTTGGGGATGGAGCCTGGGCACTCTTGGCCCTTAGTTCTTAGTCTACGGTTTGCAGTCTGTGGCCTGATGGTGGATTCCAGTCCAGCCCAGGATGCTTTGAGTACCCTTTGTTTCTTGCTTAATTTTTTTACACTGCATTCTGTTTAACTCTTTATTTAAATCATATTAAGTTTTTTTGTAAGTCACATTGGGTCCCCATTGGAGAGAAAATTGAGATAAAATATGCTAAATATATAAATAAATATTCTAGGCTGTTGAGCGCTACCAGGGCCTTCCAGATAAAGATTCCTTCTGGGCCACACCCCACCACATACAACCCAGATCCAACACACATTAAAATCAAATGAACAGCTGTCTTTTTCTCTCCCTAAAATCAAGGGCCCGGAAAAAACCCCCCCCCCTGAAGTCTATATGTATTAACAAAGTGATCACACCTTGAACAGCTTTGCTAGGTATAGTTGCCAGGTTTCCACCTAGGGTTTTACAAGCGGTACGTGCAGCACTCCAGTTTTTTCTGTCTTCTTCATTAAAACCAAATATTTGGAAGCACTGAAAAAAAAACCCTCAAAAATTTCATCAGTCATGAAATGATTTAGGAAAATACACAAGGTCAGGTAGTAAAACTATGGTTCAATTCAGACATAAAGGAAAAAAATGTTTTAATATGGTTTGTTTGTGAATCTAGCAAATCCTATTTTGCTTCAATAAATACTGGTTATACTGCCTTCTGTCTCCCCCACCCCACCCCCCACACTCACATACTGGTCTGCATCCCTGCACTGGGGAACAAGCGAGGGTTAAGCCAGGATACATCAAGTGACACCACAGTTAGTCCATTGTGATTAAGCTACAAGAACATCTTATAGGATGTTTATGAAAGCCTATGAGATGGCAGTGAAGACAGCTAAGAAGGATTTCTTTGCAGCCTCCATTGCATCTGCAAGCTGTCACCTGGACCAATTATTTAGAACAATTTGGTCTTTAACTACCTTGCCACAAGGCAAGTAAAGTGATAGGGAATTAGCTATTGGCTGTGAGGCATTTGCAAGCTATTTTGCAGAAAAAGTCTTGGCACTCCGCCAGGACCTCCCGGCCACAGTTGACATAGTAAGGGAACTGGAAACCTCTTGTCTGTCTTCTGACTTGGTTTTGGACCAATTCAACCTGCTCTCCCAGGAAGAAGTTGACAGGATTCTAGTAGCTGTGAGGTCTACGACTTGCCCCCTGGACCCGTGCCCATTGTGGTTGGTCCAGGCCTGCAGGGACAGTGTTTGAGCTACCCTGGGATATATTATTTACTTGTCCCTGTCTTCAGAGATATTCACAGTAGGGCCAAAGGAGGCAGTAGTGCATCCACTCTTGAAAAAGCTATCATTGGACCCTGTGGTCCTTGTTAACTACTGCTTGGTTTTGAATTTGCCATTTCTGGGTAAGGTGTTTGAGAGAGCAGTGCCTGAGCAGCTCCAGGCCTTCTTGGATGATGCTTCCATCCTGTACCCCTTCCAGTCCAGCTTCTGCCTTGGCCATGGGATGTAGACCATATTGGTCACCCTCATGGATGACCTCTGCAGACACCTGGATCAGGGCGGGTCAGTGCTGCTGTTGCTCTTAGACTTGATAGCAGCGTTCAAAATGGTCAATTATGATCTATTGACCAATCATGTTGCTGATGTAGGGATATAGGGAACTGCTCTAAAATGGCTTTACTTCATAGTCTGGGCCAGAAAGTGGCGCTTGGTGGGATATAAGCACAATTAATTAATTAACCAACTTCATGGTTTCAAATCTTGGTTTGATGTACTCTACCCATAGTTAGTGGAGTAGCCCATGTTCTCAGAGGGTCACAATAATTTAACTATTTCACAATTTTGCAGTGATCTTTATTTCTTTTTGAAATAAAAATGTAAACAAAAGTGGTTAAAGAGCACTTATTGGTTGCTGTCAAGGCAGAGAGTGGTCTGGACTGGGGCGGAGGAGGGCCAGGTTTTCAGCCCAGCACTGAAAGGACCCGAAAGGATTTTTGCCCACCAGAGGCATCTTACATATGAGACTGTGTGGCAATGTCAGTTTAACACAACTTTTATTGTAAGCTGCCTTTGGTCTGCATAATTGTCTGTTTAGCATCTTTATATATTATGATGGTTCTATATCCTTCCTATTTATTTTAAAGATTATAAAATAATAAGAATTTTTATAAGGAAAAAATGCTGTAGATTTTTATTGAAGGTTATTTCAAAACATTTTGGGACTAGAAGCATATAAGTTAAACTATGAAGATACTAATTTTTATTTTAAAATGCTAAAACACTTTTTAGAAATTATGGTTCTTGGATTGACTCTTTCATTTTTATTTTGTTTTTTAGTACAATATAGTGATATGTTTGAGATTTGTTTGTTACCTTGTTATTAAACAAAAGCCAGCCTTCATCACAGCCTCCTTGAGGTGCAGGTGATGTGGGAGCAATGGTTGAACGGACGGAACTGTTGTGCCTTTCACAGATGAATCTCTTCTCTGCACTACAGGATATATCTTTCCATAAACCTGAATAGAGAAGATATGGGATTAACTGGTAAAGTGATATCACTTTCAATATACCAGCAGTTTACAAAGAAAGACTTAATCGAGAACTGTCATGGACTCAGGGCTCTTTTTGTAGAAAAAGCCCAGCAGGAACTCATTAGAATATTAGGCCACACCCATGTTACCAGAAGTGTGGTCACAGATCTGCCTTCATAGAGGAGGGGGAGCTTGTACCTGAATAAACCTTAGTCTTAAAGGTGCCACTGAACTCTTTTGAATTGCTAGCTATGGAAGGGGACACACACATGCAGATCTAGAAAGAAAGAAAGAAAGAAAGAAAGAAAGAAAGAAAGAAAGAAAGAAAGAAAGAAAGAAAGAAAGAAAGAAAGAAAGAAAGAAAGAAAGAATCCTTCTGGTCTGTGAGAGATACAAGTGTGGCCATGGGTAATAGTGTATAAATATGCATTTTGATATCTTGCTTAATATTTGATTTCCTGTTCAACTAATAAAATAATGGTTCAACAAATAAAAACTTCTGTTTTATGAGAGTGAGATTGGAAAGATTTAATTACAGTTTTATGTAAATCATACATGCTAAGTTTGAATGTGAAAAAACACACAACACTGAACTGCTTGTGTATTTCATATTTGCTCAATACTATTGTGAATTGTTTGTCAATTATATGTATTACACACCCTATGCCTACATATATAAATATTTTCCCTGGGTATAGTATTTGCAGCTGAAATAGCAAGACAGGCCATTTTGCAGCTCCCAGTTTACAGTGTTGGTATGGAACTCTTTCTGTCCATTTGGTAACTACATTTTTTGATGAGCATTCCCTTTGCTTTCAGATTACAGAGTTGACATTTTTTCTGTTAGGATTCCTGCACCTTTAGGAGCTGGGAGGTGAAACTTTCATTGCTGAATTTCTGTAAAGAAAATAATCTTTATAGTTCTGAAACACAAGTTATGGGAGTTTTGTATACAGTTTCCCTGAGAAAACAATTCACTCTCAAACAGACACATATTTAGGCACTACTGATCTATATATATTTCAAGGTTATGTGCAAATCTAACTTTCAAATTGTAACTTTAATTGTAATCATAACAAGAAGACAAGCATTCTGTCAACCAGACGGGTAAAGCTGGAGAATATTGTGTTGTGTGTGTGTGAGAGAGAATATATGACTTTTTATGTCAGCTACACACATGCTCCTGAACTGCATTAGACTGAGGCAACATGCAGAGGGGAGGGCAGAGTCCATATAAAGATGAGAAACAAAACAACCATGCTGGATTAGGCCAAAGGGTCATCTCTTCCACTATCCCACTATTCCACTTCCCACAATGGCCAACCACATGCCCTACATAGCCCACAAGCAAAGGCACAAAAGGCAAAGCCTCCCCTAATTGCTGTTCCTCCCAGCAACTCCATAGGGGGAAAAAATACTTAATGTATGTTATTTATAGTCCACCTTTCTCCCAGGGATGCAAGGCAGATTACGCAAAGTGAGTCAATGCAATCCATAAAATGAGACAGTCAATAAATGATGCACTAGAAGTGTACAGATCTGGAACCAACCAGAAAAATGACCAGAATCTACTTGGAAGGAGCGGGGGAAAGGAGCTGCAACTGAGCAAACCTTTAAGTCAGGGACGCCAGTTCAGTTCCCCTCCCCCGACACACACTTGAGACCCCATTGTCCCCTTAAGGAGAAGACAAATAGACGCAGAGGGGCAGGTGGGAAGAATCCTCATCTACAGCAGCAAAAAAGCTTAAGGGAGCAATCCTAAACAGGTTCATTGAGAAACAGTCCCATGTTATTCAGTGGGGTTTACACGCAGCCTCAGAAAGCGTCTTTAAGACTGCAGCCTAAGCTAAACACACAAAACTACCATGACTGGCTGCAGCTAAATTCAAGGGAAAGGAGGAAAGGCAGATGGGATGGGTGGGTTGTGGCATGGCTACCTCCATGCCCAGCTTCTGCCTCAGCACCAGGGTGGCACATAGGTAGCCGGCACAGCCCACAAAGAGCTCATTGAAGCTGCACTCAAGGAAGGTGATGGGGGTGCAGAGCTCACAGAACGTGCCCAGCACCTGAGCCCCATCTGACAGCCATGCAGGTAAACACCGGCAGTGCTATTGTGTAGATGCCAGCGCTGCCAAGCAGGAAGGCAGCGTGGGTGACGGCATCGTCTTCGCGGCAATAAAGGCCAAAGGCCAGGAGGGCAACAGCGAGCAAGAGGTGCAGCAAGCCCCAGGCCACCTCCAGCGCATCCAGGGACCAACAGGCTAGGCCACTCTCCTCCTGCAGCAGCTCCCAAACTTCCCCCTCTCCAGCTCGGGATTGCATAACGTGCAAATGGAGTTCATTCGGCTGGGTGGAGCCAAGCTGTGGAGAAGCTGTGCAGCTTAAAAAGGCCCTGTGGGGAATTGTGAAGGTGGAAGGTGCTGGTTGGGTGAGCGGAGCAGGACTTTTGCTGAGGGAAAGGTGGGGGGGCAGGCTTGGAAGCCAGCCAGAACACTGTTCTGCTGCGTTCCGCCCCAAAAATAGCCCTGGTCATGGTAATATAAGTTGTGCAATACTACAATGCATTTTTATTCTCTCATTCCATACTCTAATCTTAAAACTGCTTGCTCATGCCAATCATGAAAGCATCACACCCAAGAAACACAGATATTTCACACAGTCCAGGGGCATCCCCTCCCCAGCATTGGCATGATGAGGACACCATAAGCAGATAAATACAGAGAGACCTCCCAGTTGCGAGTGATCAAAATTACAGAATCAACCGGGGAAACGTAATTATGCAAATATAAATTTTTGTACAATGTGAAAACAATTTATAAAAGTGCTACATACATAAATTTACCAAAGATTACATATAAGAAGAGAATTACGATATAGTTATATTAACGAAGCTTCCGGCTTGTGTCTTCGTTTCGATTCTAAGCTTCCTCAGAAGTAAATCCTCCCATTCAACAACTTGCATTTAATGAGTGTCGTCTCTTTTATTCTCCAGTCATTTTATTTGCTTGTCAAAGCTTATATTCAGCATCTTCTTTAAGCTGGGTTGCCACCTCTACAGAGCAGCTGTGCAGCATTTTGTTGGCAGCCTGGTTCCAATACGAAACTGTGTGAATGCCGGCCTAGTCCCACAAGTGAGTGCTATTCCCTTGCTCTGGCACGGTTCAATCAGACTGGTTCTTCACATGTGCAAAATGAATTTCAGACTGTAGATGGCGGAGTCACCTTTTTGAATGCTGCCCTCCTACATAGGGTTGCCAGGTCTGATTGAACCGTGCCAGAGCAAGGGAATAGCACTCAATTGTGGGACTAGGCTGGCATTCACACAGTTTCGTATGGTCATTCCAAGGCTTCCATTAGTCATGCTCAGTCCTTTCTGCTATAGTGGGTCATATGCAGGCCAGTTTTTATCATCAGTTCCCGATGTAACGAATAAACACTTGCTGAAATCACTATGCTGAGCCTCCGCTTCCAGTACTTTTCAAGTTTATATAAATAACTACATTGCACTATTACGAGTTTTGTCCTGAGTATCTGCTGCCTTGAATGGAAATAATTTTAGAGGGATAGCCATGTTAGTCTGTTATGGCAATGATAAATAGGAGTCTTATGGCACCTTAAACACTAACAAAATTTTATCCCAGCATAAATTTATATATAAGGAAAATGCTCCCTCTAAGCTGTGGGGTTTTGTGAGCAAAAATTCTACTTTTTTAAGCTTCTGGCATTAAAGTTGTGCGCCAGCTGTTTGGCTGCTGCATAAATTAGTTTGCTCTAGAGCCATCATTGCGGAGCTAAGACAAAAATGTATGATCCAGAGGCTAAAAAACAGTGAGCTAGCTCACACTAACTCAGCTTAGAGGGAATACTGATGGAAACTCACTTCTTCAGATGTTATGAGTGGATCCTCACTCAGAGTATCAGGAGAAGTAGGCTGTACTCCACCAAAGCATATGCTTGAATGAAATGTTGTGAGTCTTTAAGGTGCCACAAAGAAACTCCAGTTTATTTTTTCTGCTTTGAAAGATCTCAGCTAGGATACTGCAAGGTGGAGGAAGAGATGGAATGCTCCAAAGCAGCAGTCTTCTTTTCTTTCTTTGATACAAATTTGCCCATCATTCTGAACATGGAAGGAAGCATGACTCACTCAGTTATTAAAGTGGCACTAATTTAGAGACAAATGGTTTTATCCATGTTGTCAATATAGAGTTATGGGTGCAACAGAGGTTCTAATTTGTTAGTAACTGTGGGTACCAATTCAGTATGTAGCAGTTATTGTGCACCACTGGATCGGTAGTCACAGTTTGCACCTCTCATCTCATTCTTGCCCCCCTTACACAGTTCTAAGAGTTGAAAACAATAAAATATTGTTATTCCACTTGCCTGTTCTCTCATACATCATCACACAGTCTTCTTCTTCATTTGCATTATTTGGTTCATTGGGGGCCCAGGCTTCATAGGTCACTAGAGTTCCATCCAGCCACCTAAAGAAAATTATATGACATTACTTAGAGGTGGAATCATGCAGTCAGTCCTTTTTCACAATGTATACATTTACACTGAATTTGAAGGCAATTGTACAGGTTTTTAATAGCATGCTATTGGGGACAGAGTTGGGTTTAAGGTATGCTGCCAGGTCTCCATCTATAGTGGGAGACCTCCATCTAGCAGTGCAGTGGGGGGAAATGAGGGGAACAAGTATTGGTACGACACCGCGGTGTCACTTCTCACACAACCCAGAAATAACACCATTGTGCTAGGTGATACAGGAAGGGAGGCACAGACAGGAGTCTTGGTGGTAGGCAGTAAAGGGGGCCCGAGTACTCTCTGCTCAGGGCCCTGGAAACTTTTTGCCAGTTCTCTCCCACCAAATCTGGAATGAGCCCTGTTTCCACCCTGGAAGTTTTGCATCAGTGAGATTACACAGACAACTTGATTTCATGTTTCCTAAAAATGGCTTAATGCCACGAAGATCCAGAACATTGGCTGTGGCACATCAGGGGTCCTGGGTCTTCAAAGATTTCTTCCCATGGTTTGTGTTTATTTCGGGATAGGGAAGGTCCATTTATGAAGATACAGCTTTCTAAAATACTGCACAGTCTTGAACCAAAAGGTTTCTTTATAAACCAGATGTACCCACAGTGTGATCCTAAGATGAATTTTGTACCTTTCTAGATAGTAACAAGAAAGCAAGCTCGTTTTTTTTTTTAAAAACCCAGGGTTTAAAGCAACACAAAGCATTTTGTTAGTACTAGTTTCCTAGTACTGTGGCCTGATCCTACCCATGGCTGTATCTTGCAGATAAAGTGCATCTTACGGGTTCCAAAGTTTGCCTATGTTACCTCAGGCTTTCATATTTCTTCCCTGTCTTCCTTCAGCGAAGGAACAATATGTGAAGGATTCTGTAGTGTGTTACAGTCTACCATTACCATGAAGCAAATAAAGATAGGAATTCTGATTCTCACAATGTATGGACCAGCAACCTTCAGAAACAAAAAGTATACTTAGGACTGGAGGTGAAATCATACCCTGTTTCTGGTTAGAGCCACAAATCGGCTGGAATCTAGTTACTTTGAAAGCATTCAGAACTGGGTTTTTTTACCCAAAAGAATGTTACTTTTCAGACTTGTTCCATTTTATAACAATCTTTCATTTATTACCAAATAAATCTGGATTGCTGGCATGGACGAGAAATTGGATTCCCAGTTAAATGCCTTCCTTAGGAGAATTACTGGAACTCCACGGTGTGTTGCTGGGACTGTCCTTCGTATGGAATTGGTTCAATCTTCGCTTGAAGCACGTGCTTGGAAAAGGGCATTCAAGTTGAGATTTAAGCTATCTGACCCAAGTCATCACCCCCAGGCTGGTTTTCTTCGTCTCATCCTAAAGGACATGACATCCAACCCTTGGTTGTCCCTTCTTGCGGGTAAACTCAAGACATTGGGAGTTCCGATTTCCTCACCTACTGAAGAGCTGTTGCCCTCCCAGCTCAAGGAAACCTTGAAGAAACTCAAACAGTTGGATTGGGCTAGCACCGTGGCCAGGGCCAGACACACCTGTTCTCCTTTGGCTCTGGGGTTGCCCCCTCCAGAGAGATTTCTGGATTTTCATTCATCGCTACCAATTCCATCTCACCGCTGCGCCTTTATGCTGGCCCGTTTAAATGCATTTCCAACGATGGTAACGCTGGGCAGATTTGGAGGCTTACCTTACTCAGATCGCCTCTGTTTGTGCAACTCTGGCGAAATTGAAACTTTAGACCATCTGATGTTTCGCTGTCCCCATTGGATTCAAGATAGAGGGATATATATCATTCCTATTCTAACGAAGATGGATCTTCCCTTGCAACCGTGGGTGCTTTCAGTATTGTTATCTGATTCAAATGCCGATGGACTGATAACAGCTACCGTGGCGCGGTTCCTGGCTAAGGTTGCTGCTCTCAAGAAACACTGAAAGCTTTATCATCTTTGCAAACACCTACACCGATTTTTAATCTTCGGAGGATTTTAGTTAGTCGGCTCCGCCCCAAGTGTAGTTAGGTTTTTTTAATTCTCTGGGCTATGCCTGGGTTTTATAAGTTTACTGATTATGACTATGTACTTGTCATATTTTATGTCAATTTTATGTACCTATTTTACCCCTTTTGCATTCTCTTTTGGTCAAGACTTCGGTCATATAGACCCATAATAAATTGAATTATCCTTAGTAGAATGTGTGCAAGTAGAAATTTGTTTTGTACATTTTTACACTTTTTGTTCACTTACTGGAACTTTCCATCAACACCCACAGTTAAACCAATGTAAACATTATCCTTAAATGCATGAAAGACATTCTGAAATATATAAAGAGAGAAATGGTTATCAAGGCACAAAGTATTTAAGTCAAAATGCTCAGATATTTTCAACATGATTACAGTTTGGTTATTCTCTTCAAAGTGCAAATACTGTTTACTATGAAATACAGAAAGTTGAAAGAAACATTCACCATGGCATGAATTACACTTCCTGCTTGTGATTGCTTAAAAGGCTTTATTAGAAAACATGGTAAGAAAGAATTTGCAATAATGTACAGGAAAAGATACTGCACAGGGGAGCTGATGCGGCTGTGACAACAACCCCCCCCACACCTCTGTTTGTGCCAGGAGCTGAGGAGGGACAGGCAGATGCCAGTGCTTACCTGGCATTTCCTTCAAGGTAGCAAGCAAGTCAGAGAAAAGCCCCAGTGCCTGCCCTTAGCTGGGCAGCCAGTGGAAGCAGCTAAAGTCATGCTACCTTTCCTTCCCCTGGAAAGACAGTGATGCCTGCAACAGATTCCAGGAGAGGGTGAAGCAGAGAAAGAGAGAAGCCATGATTAATTGACTCCTGGCACAACAACAGGTACAGCCTTCTGAAAACATAGGTTGCAAACGTCTGCCCAGGGATCTTTGAGTACTCAGTTACTCAGGTTGCAGTTCTCTCTATAGTGTTGCCCATTTCACCTGGGCAGGTCTACTCAGAAGGACGTCACAGTGTATTCAGTGGGGCTTACTCCCAGGCTAGTGTCCTTAGGACTGTAGCCTCAGTGTGTTAATCTACAGGAGCATTCAGGTCTGATCACAAATAATTCACACAGGTAAGTGTCACTTCCTTGTTTACCTATCCATCTGCCCAATGCATGCTCTTAATTTACTAGGCTGCTGAGTTTGATGGGAACTGTAGTTTTGTTTGCCTTCTGATTCAGTAGGGAGAAACCATCATTCCCATCAACGTCTGCAGGAGTCAGGTTGGGGAAAGACTAAGAAGAATACATTGACAGGAAAGATGGACACACAGGGTTTGTCCTATGCCCCATCAACACACACACACACACACACACACACACACACACACACGCATGCTCTTAGGGATAAAGGGATCAACTGCTTCCCCTCCCCCTACTATTCCTTAATCATTGTGACTGAGTAGGTTTAATGTGGATCACAGAGATTACACTTGCAGCTAGTTATTTGT